TACTGAGGAAAAGCATGAATGAAGGGGATTTATGACTGGGATAAGTGGACAACAGGCACATAATCTCAATTGCAGGGAAATACTTATCTATAATTTACAAATCCTGCAAGTGTACTGCACTGAAACACCACTCTTCCATATTCATCTACCTGGATCTGCCTCTGTCCTTTTCTTGTTCCTTATCCCTATCTTTCTCCCGCTTCTGACGCTCTTTTTCTCGCCTGAGCTCATCTGCAAAATCATCTGGCGTTTTGTGTCTGTGTCCTATGCTGAAAAACATGTCCAATGTCATAAGCATCACACAACAATTTTTACATCTCCATGACTATTCCTGAATACTTGTTTGTCGGTTTCCACAACTGGAGTGCATCGTATAACTTCGGCTTTCTGGTGAGAGCTGTGTCAAATGTTTGATGTTAACCAATATTTTGGCAAACACTACATTTGCCATCTTGAAAACAGCAACTGCAGCATTTGCCAAAAAATTGGTTAACACCAGACATTCGACACAACCTCACCAGAAAGCTGAAGTTATATATTCCTGAATACTGTCCAATATAATAAAGGCAATCTCCAAAATGAAATTACATAAAAAGATAAGATTGTCATGCTAACATTGACATATGCATTACACAATATATAAACTGCTAATCTTGCACATGTAGTAGCAGCATTTAGAATTCATTCTAAAACTGTGGGCACAAAGACCACAGACCACAAGTTTTATGCCAATGAAATTTCTCTTAACAAAATCAGAGGTTATACTGCTGGAATATACCATACTGGGCCAAACAGTGTTTGAAAAACTTAGTAACCTGCAGAAAAAAAAATTAAAATATTTACCAAAGAAATGGGAGAACTGGCCATAATCTGAAAACATGAAAAGCATGAGTCTAACATGTAAACTAGAGGAGGTGGCAAAGATTCAGTTATATAAAGAAATTTCATGAACACAGTTCTCATGTATTTAACCCTTTGCCGCGGAGATTTAAAGTCCGAGGTTGTGTTCATCCTGCGGTAATACTTTCTTAGTGTCCCTTTAAATTTTGCTCTAAAATACTATATTTATCATAACTTTGGAACTATATGAGATATAATTAAAATTTTTTCACTGAAATCCTCTTAAAAGACGGTTTTATTATCTTACCTTATAAGATGAACGCCCTGTGTGTGAGCAGTGTAAGGATGTGGATCAGAATCTGAGTTTCGTGTATTTCACCGCCACCACCATTGTTTACTCTCATTATCACTATCTCCAGTTGTCACCAACTGTTTATAATTAATGTCTATTATTGCACTGTCGGTGTCCGAACTATGCTCACAGTCACTTTCATCCAAAACTTCTTCTAGAATTGCACGTCATTCTGCTTCTGTAAGTTCGCGACTAGACGAAGAGACATCCATGATAAGAATGAGAAGGTCAGGATATTATTTTTAGATTCCCAGGTAGAACTCAATGGAATGTGGCGGTGTTGCCATATGTCCACATACAGTTATCTTTTCAGAACAAAGCAGTGCAAACCGCATTCCGCTGGCGTTATTCGTTAAAAAGTTATGGGCTACAAAAATTAAGCTTGCAGCCGCCCGTACACTGCACCGATATCCACAAGGGGGTATTTATGCCTCACGAATTTTTACGTTCATCCGCGCGCAGAGGTTAAAGCACAACTGAGGTAACTCTTACCAAGTTGTAACTATAAAATCAACAATAATGAAACCTAACTCACCAATTGGTGACTTCCTGACAGTATCAGCCTGCCCAGTTCCAGATGTTGACGGCGATGTAATCCCCATATGTTGTTTCTGTAGTCCTGGTGGAGTCACGGGTGTGGAGGAAGTCTGTTTTATCCTCAGTGTTTTCTGTTGCCTGTACTGTGGCTGCTGTCTAAAGTAATCCATCATCCTTGGAGGTGACAAATGCATTACAGGCGGACTTGTATCACAATGAATATCTTCAATTATCAGTGGCGGTAGTTCCTGATGGGCAAACATGAACGTAAACAAGAGCAAGAACATATACATTACCAAAGACGATAAATGGAAAAATGAATTTATGACTAAAAGTATCAAATTAGTCCTGGGTGGCTGATATTACAATTTATTTTCTGCCAAATTTCTGTAAGGGTAAGATTTCATAAAAATTTTACAAATTATTCAGGAGTTGAAAGACACAACACAAAGAAAAATGTACACATATGGAATGCTTATATGGTTTCATTTGTTTTGTTTTTTCATTTACCATTCATTCACTGGGACATAGCACCACAGTACCATATTTTATCGTATAATTCACATGCCCTCATTTTCTACACTGAAATTAAGAAAACTGAAAGCCCCAATATATTTCACACATTCCATTCTTAGAAATGAAATACATAAATATTTTTTCAGCAATGTCTGAACTGGGAAACAACAGGCATAAAATATAAGCATGGGTTTGCAGAAAAACACTCAATTTTCTTACCAACTAAGGCCACATAAGAACTATCCAGTTTCTCTGAACAAAATAACAGGTCAAGTAGTCAGCATTCTCACATATCTCCACACATCCAAGTTTTTGACCACAAAATATCAGCAAATGCAAATGAGAGGATTACACAACAAAATACTGTACTATTCATTGAAACCACATGTGCACATCAAACATATGTTACATACACAGCATAAAAGTTTAACTCAAACCCTAAGTAATATTACTGTATAGTATTGTTCTGCAAGCTGTTTTAAAACATTGTATTCAACTAATTCAGATTCTATCATAATTCACAACAGTAACAAAAAAACTGTTTAAAAATATACAAGACATTAGATGAACAAGTATCAAAGAAACAGAAATTAAAGAGAATGAGAATATGTCAACACTTGAACAACAAATCTTCATAAGATAGCAGTCTTCTGGGTTGTTGCGTCATGTAATCTTCGCGATCAGCCCTGATGACTGCGGAAACAAGAACCTCAGAAATGTCAGTAAACTTCTACCAGACTACATGGCGAACAACCCAGAAGACAGCCATCTTCAGACTTACTGCCATGAAAACCTCAAATCCTACTTACTAAATCTTTTCACTTAGGAAGTCCACAAATGTGCAGAATTCAACTAGCTCTTAACACTCCAGAGTATTTGAAGTTTACTCTTGTGCCACATGCAGTTCATTCATTCCTCTACATCCACTTTAATGACATTAACTTCATCATCAGTGAGGAGTTCCACATAATTGATCTACCAACGAATGCTACAAATATTCTGCAGTCATCAGATACTGGAGGAAAAAAAATGTGTATATGAGGTGCGACAATTAAGTTCTGGGAATGTCCTCGTAAAAACTGTATTTAATTACGTACACACTAATGGTTGCTGTCACCTTTGAAGTAGTCTCCTTGTGCACCAAAGCATTTAGTGAGTTGGTGTTTCTACTCCTCAAAACATGTCTGGAACTCCTATTCTGGAATTCTCTTCAGAATGGTTATTGCATGTCCCTGAATGCTGGAAATGTCTGAAAATTTATGGCCCTTCAAAGCAGTCTTCAGTTCTTGGAATAGCCAAGAGTCACATAAGGCCAAATTTGGTGAGTATAGTGGATGGTTCAATTTCAATACTGATTTTTGGCCAAAAACTCCAAGATAGCAAGCACATCATGATTAAAAAACAGGAAAGAACATTTCCATCACTTGGGCTAGTGACATGTTTGCCTTTTTTGGCACTTTTATGCCATTCATAGACACTTGACTTTATCAGAACATCAGTACCATAAGCCTCTGTTAAAATCTGAAGAGATTCAATGGTGCTTCTGCCTAACTTTACACAAAACTTGATGTTAATGCACCACTTCAAAAACCTATCATCTTTCTTCTTCTATGGCTCTCCAGTCCGTGTTCGGTCCATGGCCTCCTCAATTCTACTCTTCCATTCGGTCCTCCGACAGATCCGTCTGTCCGAGGCTTTGATTGAGGTTTCGAAACATCTTCCTTTTTACGGTGTAAGGCTGTTAGCCTTGCGACCAACCCCCAACCTGGACGACCAGGGTACCTGTCTTAGTCTGATCTCTCCCCCTCGACCAATCTGGCTAGGGAGGCCCTACCAGTAGCTATGTTACTGCCAGCATAGCTCTTGGGGTCACTGAGGTACTCAAACCCCACCACCACGACAAACCTATCATCCTACCACTCATTTTTCCACCCGGATGAAAACACACACTTGTTTAACTCTGCCACTGCTTCGCTACCACTGCCATATTTGCTTCACCAACACACAAAACACAACCACAGACATATCATAATACATCACTGCTTTGTTACTACTAACTTGCTACATGACGCAACAAAAATGTGGGCATTCCGGGAACTTAATTGTCACACCTCATACAATGGGACTGTACATCAGCTATTTAGACATCAACAAGGCTTATGATTCAGTTATGCAGAAAGTACTATACAACATTTTCAATCAATCTGGTATGCCTGTAAACATAATTAGGCCAATTATAATGTATTTAAATTGAACCTAAAGTAAAGTATGTATGCTACTAGAAAAAATCATTATATAAATATAGTTACTAAATAAAGCCTTTAACAATGTGGACAACTTCGGACATTTGGGAACAACACCAAGTAAAGCCGTCCCACTTTACGCCATGTAGATACTTGAGAGAAGAGGTGATATAGCTCCTACTCATTCTTAACCTCAGCACTACACAGGGGTGAGTGGTCAGCATCACACCCTGTCCACGCTTTACCCCTGGGAAAGGACCCCAGTACCAATTACACAGGAGGCTTAGTGGGCCCAATGCAGAGGCCAGAGGAAAAATCCTTTGCCCGTCAGTGATCAAATCCCAGTCATCAAGTCTTTAGCTTGAGAACAACAGTAACATGTCAAAATTGCATATCATATTAAGAGAAGATCACATTCAGGGAATGCTTGCTACCATGCAGTTCAGAATCTTTTGGCTTCCAGTTTGTTATCTAAAGTGTACAGATTAAAACTATACTTTTACTTGCTGTTGTGTATGGGTGTGAAACTTGGTTCATCACATTAACAGAAGAACACAAGACTGAGGATGTTTCAGAACAGGGTGCTTAGGAGAATATTTGGACCCAAGAGAATTGAAGGGAGAGAAGGCTGAAGAAATGGGCATGTGGAGCTCAATAAATGTTCTCTTCACCAAATATTATCAGCATGATAAAATTAATGTGGATAAGAAATAAGTACAAAATTTTGGTTTGAGAGCCTGAAGGGAAGAGACCACTCAGAACAAACAGCTGTAGATAAGAGATTAATATTAAAATGCATCTTCAGAAAACAAGAGGCAGAAGGTATAGGTTAGATTCACCTATCCCAGGAGACAGACTGGTGGTAAACTCTTAAAACACGGTACTGAAACCTCAGGTTCTGAAAAAGGCAGTCTTAATGAGGTGAGAATACTATCAGTTTCTCAAGAACTCAGCAACATGCAATGAATTATTCTGAAAACACATATAAAGGAAATGTAACAAAATATTCTCATGAGCTAAAAGAGCTAACCTGTATTATTGGTACAAAATCCTTGTAGACTTCATTTCGTAAATCATCCATTCTTTTCTGCATTTCAGTAAACATGTCATCTGTTTCTCTGAAAGCAACTGAAACACAAGAAATAGAACAATCTATTTAAAAATGAAAATCCAACTACACATTCTGACATCAGAGACTGTAAATATTTTCTCTCTCAAATACTCATGGTCAGAAACATGGTGCATAGATCTGAATTGTTTATGTATGAGGTGTGACAATTAAGTTCAGGGAATGCCCCCGTAAAAGCTGTATGTAATTACGTACGCACTAATGGTTGCTATTGCCTTTGAAGTAATCTCCTTGTGCACTATTACATTTGGTGAATCAGTGTTTCCACTGCTCAAAAAATTTCTGAAACTCCTCTTCTGTAATGTACTTCAGGATGGCCATCGCATGTCCTTGAATGTTGGCAATGTCTGAAAATCTGTAGGCCTTCAAAGCAGTCTTCAGTTTTGGGAATAGCCTAGATTTGCACAGGGCCAAATTGGCTGAATATGGTGGATGGTACAATTTTAATATCAAGTTTTCAGCCAATAACTCCTGGACAGCGAGCACATCATGAGTAGGGGCATTGTCATGATTCAAGATCCAAGAATCAAGCCAAATTTCAGATATTCTCTAACAAACAGCATCATGTAACCTTGTCAATATTTCCAAACAATGCTGGCTCACTGTTTGACCTTGTTCAACAAACTCAAAGTGAACAATGCCTTGTGATAAAAGAATAATTGTCTTCACTTAGGCTCATGATATGCACGCCTCCTTTGGTCCTGACTTTTCATAGCATCAGCACCATAAGCCTCTTTTAGCATCTGCAGAGTTTCACTGGCACTTCTGCCAAATTCTGCATAAAACTTTATGTATATGTGTTGCTCAAACAACCTATCCTCCATGTATAAAGTGAAGCTTTTGTGGCGAATGAAGTTGATGAAAGACTCTCGGGGGCTACAAGCCGCGTCAGGTGGCTGAATGGTGAATAAACCATATCCTGTGCCAACGTCTTGAGAGCAGAGATGGCTCTCGAAACGTTGGTAGAGGGTATGGTTTATTCACCATTCAGCTACCTGATGCAGCTTGTAGCCCAAGAGTCTTTCACTAACCTATCACCCATTTTCCATTAGGACGAAAACACATGCTTAGATAACTCTACCACTGCTTTGCTATTATTGCCTTATATGCTTCACCAACACATAAGATGTAACAACAGAGAAGTTGCTGCTGAGTTATTGCTCACTCATTACTTGATATGACATATATGTGGGCATCCTGGGAACTTAACTGACACACCTTGTAGTTTCTGTCACACTTTAAGTGGCTTGCAAAATATCACACCAACAGAGAATATTTTAGTCAACAAGATGCACTTATTCTATCCATGAAACAATGTCTTAATACAAAAATATGTTGATGTGATGATGTCACAAATTTAGGAACATGCTTAACTAACAAGCCAAACTTACCACTTAGTTCATCCAATTTATTACTAATAATGTTCCGTGACGCTTCAATCTGGTAGTTAAAGTCATACTTCTCCAAGGTGGATTCTATAACTTCCTGCAGCTTCTCCTTGAGGTCTTCCAGCACATCATCTGGCAATGGTTCTTCTGCAACATTAACAGAACAATCATATGTAGCACCCCACTTAATGGTACCTGGACCTTGTCGTGGTGGTGGGGCTTGAGTACCTCAGTGATCCCAAGAGCTATGCTGGCGGTAGCCAGATTGGTCAAGGGGGAGAGGTCAGACTAAGATAGGTACCCTGGTTCTCCAGGTTGGGGGTTGGTCGTAAGGCTAACAACTTTGCACTGTAAAAAGGAAGATGTTTCGAAACCTCAATCAAAGCCTCGGACAGACGGACCTAACAGAGGACCGAATGGAAGAGGAGAATTGAGGAGGCCATGGACCGAATACAGACCGGAAAGCCATAGAAGAAGAAGATCATAAATATCATACTCTAAACCAGTGATATTTAACCTGGGGTACACAAAGACATCTTTGGGGGTACACAAAATTTAAAAAAAAAATATTATTTTATGATAAACACTGAATAATCAGCAATGTAATTTATTTAATTTATTTTAGATGTAGATTATATACTATGTATAACTTGAATTATACACCAACAACTTTGGGGGTACAAAGTTGAAGAGAAATTATATCTGGGCGTACGCGAACAAAAAAGATTTAATATCACTGCTCTAAACTGTTACCCCAAAGTTAAAGTCCAACAAGCAGCATAATATAGGGGTTTAAATTACCCTATTACAGTTCGAAAAAGGTTGAAACCCATGTTTTTCCACAGCCTGCAGTAATATTTTAAATATCCCTTTGAACTCTACAGTAACATTTTGAAAATCAAATCAACTGAACTGTCAGAAGTAGAGAGTTGAGTGATAAATCTAAAGACACCTAGCCAAACACAGACCAGATAACTTACAGATTACTAGGTGGTTTTATACAACTTGTCAGCCCTATGTTCCCAAGAGGAATAAAAGGAATTAACTAACTAACTAACTAACTAACTTTAGATTTTATGTGTGAATCCATTTTTACTTTATTTAATACTGCAGAGATCCAATCACTTGTACATATGTAGACATAATACCATTTTTTCAAATAAGTTTCATCCCTGTTGAAGCACTTTTCCCAGCCAGAAACAAGTGCACTGAAGCCCTTCACAAAGAAATCCTGCTCAAGTGCTTATAACTAGGTCATCATTCACAAATTGCTGTCCCAGTAAAAGCATTTGAGGGGCACAAAGATACAAAAGGTTGAGGATGCTAAAACAGAACTATGTGTGGGATGCTGTAACACCCATCCATACTGCTAGACCCATTGCTGAATGTGCCAGGCTGAATGTTATGGCATGCATTAAATGTCCATAAGTGAAGTGTTTTACAGGCAGCTGTTGAGGGTGTGTGAATAATTGTTTCAACAAGAACAGATGAGTACTAGATTTGCACATACACTTATGACATCTGAACAAAAATAACAGCGAGCCTGGATAGGTGGACATGTATAGAGGCAAGACATGTGATTTATTTTCCGCATGCAGACTGCAGCACGCCACGCAAACTCAAATGGAGTTAAACACCAACCAATCAATTCAAACAGTCCTATCAGTGGGGGCGAGAAAAAATTGGCTTTATCGTGTTTATGAATTTTGATTTTACATACTATTCTTTTACGTCCCACGGATGGATGGTGTGGTAATGCCTTTTTACTCTGGGACTTTCACTTTTTATTTTGTCCGGAGATAGGGATTAGCTCTATCTAGTGGGCCCAACTGTGTAGGAACCTGAAGACGGTGATAGAGTCACATCTCCGAAACGTCGTTTTACTTTTTTACATTTTATATTTACTAGACGATGGATAATATCCAAGAAAATTTTTATTCAATTGACTCTTCACCATCGTCAAGAAGTTTTAGATCCAAAAATTAGTATATTGGAAATGTCTTGGCATGAACAAGGTGTCCTCTTAGTGGATGTTCTCCCACATGAGACAAATAGTGCCACCCATTAATGAAGCACACGGAACAGAGTGAAGGACCTGTTCATCAAAAGAGACCAGGCGAGATGATGTAATCATGCTTCATGCTTGTCTCTACAAAACTTTTCAGAATAATCTTAGTAAGTTCCTCATAAATTTTACATTAACATGTGATTTATACATATAAGTAATACCTTCTTCAGATCCTTCTTCTGAATCTGTAAGAACAACTGTATCATTCCGAGGCGGGAACTTGGCTGTCATTAGTGGTTTGTGTTGTGACAGAAGATAAGACAAGTGCTGAAACAAAAACAGAAATAGTTTTACCAGAAAAGAAAACATAACACTTCAATAACAACTCATTTGTATATACAGAAAAACACTCACAAGATTTCCAGTCAGAACTTCTGCTAAGGTTATGTTAAACTTGACAAACCTGGCAATAATTCAAAATCTGTACTAACATTTCTATGTGATACCAATATATGAAAAACTAATATGAGACTTGATGAAGTAACAAATGATACACTACATGTATCTGCAAAATTATACACTCATAGGAGTATAAAATATATGTAATGACTTTCTTAGTTAAAAATATTTGTGTCCTATCACCTTATGTCAATTCAAAATGTCCAATCTTTTCTCTAAGCAAACAGTTTCTGACCTTATAAATATCTATCACACAGCATCACTGCATAGGCAATTCTTGCACTGATAACCAGTGTTTTGCTCTTTTCCTGGGAATCATCAGTTATTTGTTCTTGTGGCCAGTCATCGGTGAACATTCTTTGTGCTTATGCCCAACCATGAGAAACACTGCTGAACATGTTCTTAATTGAGGATTTCATCACATTACAATTGGATACAAAATTCTGATCAGAGAACATAAAAGGAAGGATCCAACAAGACAAGTTTGCTCATCTGCCATGTTGGCACTATTAATTGTAGGAAATTTAAGAATATGATTTTAGGGTGGTCCCCAATGGCACAACATCCACACCAAATTTTGCTCAAATCTGTCCAGCGGTTCTCAAGTTGAATCCTGCAGACAGAAGTATGGACAGACTTGACCAGCCCTATACGTGTTCATTTTATGTTCATGCACATTATGCAAAAGAATGCATAATAACCAACGATCATACATGAAAGAGATCAGGTCATGGAAGAAACAATTATGTAGTGAAAGGTACACTAATAAATGCAAAAGGAAGCCTTCAAATATACAATTGCTTATTTTAATTAGCATCAAAAATACATATGATTAGAACAAACTATGCAGAGGCAACTGAACTTCAGCTTTTCGGGTGAGAGATGTGTTTGGTGTTAACCAACATTTTGGCAGACACTGCAGTTCCCACTTTAAAGGCATGTTTACTGTGTGACAAGCTCTGGAGGCCTTATATAGGGCAAGCAGTGAGTGAAGAGACAGATCTGACGGTGCTGATCGGTGGAGTGGGTTGTTCCAACAGGACAGGAATATGGTTGAGGAATGGATGTTACAGAATTTTGAGAGGAGGTGATAATGGAGGTTCTGGTGACCATGTTAGATAGGAAAGTATTTGCAGCAATTATATGGAAGGGAGTGGCAGCTGTTTATTGACCACGAGGTTTGGAAAGGTGATGGTGGACCAGTCCTTTTGACGGTTTGGTAAGGTCAGTGGTTTGGGGAAAAACAGGTAAAGCCAAGATTTTTTTTGCTTGGATGCAAATACTTGATATGTTACATATTGAAGATGCCCCTAAAGATGGCAAAGTTAACCCTGAAACATGTTTGGATAGTACCCAGAATTTTGTAATTACTTACATGTAATTGTAAATAATAAATGTCATCTGACAATAGTCATCCAACTGTAATTAAAATAAATTACCCCATACAATGTGTGTGCACATATACACATGCATGCAAACAAAGAAACATCCATGCACACACCTACCTCATAATGTTGCATGGCTACTTCAAAGCACACTGCACAAACTTTTTGTGCCCTTCCTTTCTTGTATTTCCGTCCATAGTACGTCAAAACAAACACAGGTGCACTCCTCAAGTCTTGACCAGGAGTTGAGCATTCTATATTACAACAACATACACCTTTAGGTGCATTCAACTTCTTTTTCTTCTTCTTTTTCTTTATGGTTTCAATTTCAATATCATCATTATCATCATCTAGGTTGATCACAATCTCTTGACGCCTCTTGCAAAATTTCTCTTGCAGGACAACCTCTGGGCTGCTGTCACGATTAGAATTGACACCTGTCTTACCCTTCTCCTTGTTAGCGGATGTTCTATACTGTCTAGTTCCTTTCTTTCTTCCTATCATTACTATCTCATCGTTACTATCACCATCAGCATCAATAACCATAGGAGAAGAATCACAGTTAGGTGCATCAACATCTACAAAATTTATATGATCTGGGTACGGATTTGTTTCATTAACATCCACATCATACTCCTCACTTCCTGTCCTCACCAAGAACCCTTTTCTTGTATTCACTTTTTGCCCACCTTCTGACGTCTTTTCAGCCTTCTTTCCACTATCACTCGGTTCAACTTTCTCCTTTTCAATTTCTGTCTTTTCCTTGTCACTCAGTTCAGTTTCATTACGTTCACCATAGCACATTTTCTCAATTTCTTTCAATTTGTTGTCAATTGCATTTTCAATTTCATTCTTTTTCTTGTCTCTTATGTCTTTAATGTCTGTTTTCTTTTTCTTACTCACTTCATTAACTTCCTCTTTTTTCTTGTCATGATTATCTTCAAGTTCCTTCTCTTCCTTGTCACTTGTTTCCTTCTTTTGCCTGTCATGTGTTTCATCATGTTCCCCCTTTTCCTTGATATTCAGTTCTTCAAATTCCTTACTTTTGGCTTTTTTTGAAGTCACATTCTCATTGGTCACAGCTTGTTTAACATTATGAGATTCTTCTGTGCTTCTACTTTTTTCTACTTCCATACCTTCACTTTCATTATAATTAATGTCTGAGCCTTCAGTGTTTATGACATCACTCTCACTTTTCTTTCTTATGTTATGTGAGTCCTGTAATGAATCACTTCCTGTTGACTGCTTGTTCTCTTCCACAGCAACTCTAATATTGCTGGTGACATTTGCAGGCTCACCTATGTCCTTACTGTTTAGCGGTAATTTTTTTTCACCTGATGCAGAGTCGTGAGTGTCATCATCACAATCCATCTGAAAAGAGACACACAAGATTGTTCTACTGTTCTTTCAACCTCAAGTTGTGTAGGTCCTCAAACGTTTTCCATAATGCAGCAGTTCATACACTGTGTTCCATTGAATCACAGAATTTTGTTCAAAAAATATTTAGTCAGAGCTACACTAAAACTAAGCTTGGGCTAACACTCCACTGCAGTTTTGGTACAACCAAAGGTCCTTGTCATGTTCAAATATTTTCACTTAATTATTACTAACATGTAGCAAAGTATTTGAGTACCTTGGAAAATTTAATTAATACCATTGTGGCACTTCAGAATCAAGTATTTTTATAATGACTATAACTTAAATATGTATAGCTGAGACAGCTAAATACAATCTACATCATCAAAAATACTTTCAAAACATCTGTTATAAAGCAACCAGGGCAAGATATGTCGTGAGAAAAGGGGCTAACAACCCCACCATTCTACATCAGCCAGATATTGACATCAATACTCTCATACAGATAACCACTGGTCTTTGTTAAACTACACAAGAATGAGAGAAAACCCAACATGAATTTTCCAGAAGATAAATAAAGCAATAATTTATGCAGTCAGTGTAACTTGCTGGCTACAAAATAGAAACTGAATCAAATGTCACAATTCCACATTCACAGGTTAACAGGTATGCAGTTTTGACAGGTAATGTGTCAAAATAAAACTTCCAAATATCTTATGTCTGGATTTTTGAATCATATAATTTGTTTCATGGTTAGCTAATGTTGCTGTCTCAAGCATGTAGGTTATATTACACTGTACAATCGTTCAAGAAAAGTTCGTATATAAACCTCTTTTCTTAAAAAAAAAATCAACCACTAAAATAAATTACTGTACCATGGGTTTAGTTCTTACACAAAATGTAAAACCTCTGTATAAACACTTTGCATTGCAATGAATCTGAGCAGGTTAGTTTTAGTTAGGTTAAAATACTTTATTGAATAAGTGCAAAAGAGTAACTGTTTTCTACATTTTTCCCTGCATACATCTTTATTTCTTCATATCCACCACCATTCAAGGCTTTAATGGTAATGGCGGACTCAAACCCCTTCACACTAAACTTGCATGGAAATCTGGCATTCTATACGTTAATAGACCTCATTATTTTAAAGGAAACGTTATTTCGGAACTTTTTCAGACGTAAAACATTTACTTAAGGATTTAAATAGTCATATGTGTAATTATGCACATACTAATTAGATTTGTTTGTGTTACTTACCACTGAACATTCACAACTTACCAATGTTTGAACTTGCTGTGAAATGCGCGTTCGAGAGGGTAATGACGCTGTCTGCTAGGGGCTTTGTCTGTATGTTATATACGATACATAACCTCATAAATATTACCGCTTCAAACGCGATAACAGTAAAATCCCTATCGTCTGGATGTGCGTTTCTGGCATCTGACAGCAGATACTCTTTTAACACTGGCTTAAACTTCTGTATATCATGATTCAGATTTTTTTGCCGTCTGTTGAGTTTTCCCAGAAAATAATTCCATGACATGATCGAAAGGAAATAGGAATTTTTTCATGGGTGATGTGGCAGTCCTCATAGCAAATAAAGTGTACTGAGCTTAAGTTAGGCATAATGTATTGAATATGTATTTTTAAATGTAAGTTATTATCCATTTGTAGGCCATGAAATTTAGCTGTTTCTACTTTGATTTTTTATTCTCATTTCCTATACCTACATTAAAACAATTTTTTTTGGTAGCAAAATTTTTCCCAAAATTTAATGTTTATTGGTTTTAATCCATTTCTTCAAACTAGCAAAGACATCATCATTCATGCAAATTTGGAAACAATTTCTGGATTTGAAATAATATTAGTATCATCCACAAAAAGTAGGGGTTTAGACCAAGAGTTAATGGCTGGCAGTAAGTCATTGATAGAGTAGAGTTGTATGAAGTAGAGCAGAGGACCAAGTATTGTACCTTGAGGAACTCCATGCTTTATAATACCACAATTTGAATGTGTTATAATTCAGATCTTGTGATTTTATTTATCCTTGTTGCCTTTTGTCATGAAGGTATGATTTAAACCACACCAGCTATATTTTGAATTCCATAACAAAGTATTTTCACAGTAATAAGTCATCATTTACAGAATCAAATGCTTTATAAAGATTATAATATATTCCACTAACATGCATTTTATTATTAAGCACACTTAAGATGTCTATAAGATTGAAAAAGGCATATCAGTGGAGAGACTTTTCCTTATACACAACTTTCTCAAATATTTTAGAGAAAGCTGCTAGTAATTAAATTGGTCTATAGTTAGATATGCAAGATTTTTCACAGTTGTTACATTTATTTATTACAGTCTGCGACTGTAATCTCGAGACTTGAGGGGTGAGGAAGTGGGGTGAAGGAGGAAAGATAGCGTCTGCCTTTAACGCTATGGACTTCCTGCATTCCTTGCAAGTCTCAAGATTACAGTCACATACTGTAAGTATTTATATTTGTACTGGAGTAAACCGCATATTATCACACGTGATGAAAACTGGAATGGACAGTCAATAGTGAATAACAAAATTTCTGAGCACAATGTGAATACACTCTGGTGTGATGACCACTGAGCTTCCATATGCAACAGAATAGCAGAACTGTTTCCCACTTCATCAAAAAGCACATTGAAAATTCCTTACTTTGTTGGGTCTTGATTTAAAAAAATTTAGTCTTCACAACCTTGTCTTAACACCACTGTCAGCTCATTTAGAATTTTTTTATAGGAAAAACTCGGTGATTAATGAATGATAACATTGGTTACCACTGCACAGATTCATATGTAGTGATTTTATATTTTCATTTAATGTACAAGATACTAATTCCATAGATTACGCCCCATTTTGTAAGATTTTGTGATTTGAGGTTTTCACAGTGGTGAAGATGTCAGTGTTGTTGTTCTGGGTTGTGACACCATGTAGGCTTATAGGTAGACATAAACATTTTAGAGAAACATCTTCATTTGTTTTAAAATCATGTTTTCACTTTATTATTTTTGTTATAATAGTTTAAAAATTACCAGTTTTATTAAGAAAGCTTCCATAAATCATTTAAATGTCCAAAATTAAATTGCATCGAGCTACACTTTATGATATGATTTCAGTCTGCAATCAAAATGTTAACACACATGTTGAGTTCTGGGCAGTTCACTGCTAAATCCATGTTGACAGTAAATGCGAATGTTGTACCACTTCGTACTCCGGAAATACACTCATCACAGGTGGGCCAACCAAGACCAGTATACTGGGCTGTTACTGTGGGTGATGGCCATTAAAATGAGAGGCAGAAACTGAAAGAAAGAATCAACTTCTGCTATTACAAATCAGAAAGATACCGATTCATATGACAAACCATCAATATTTAAGTGCATAAATCACATACCAGTCATAACAGCAGCATTTATGTTGTATTATAAGAGAAATAGTCACACAACTTGGCAGTGTTTCTATATTCTGAATTTCCGATTCAGAATCTTTCTGAAACTTTAATCTTCATAAAATTCTATGAACATGCCTCCTGTACAGTCAGCGGTATACAATAAGAAAATCAACAATCAAACATGACAGGTTATCCATGTCATCAAGTCTATGGGAAATGAAGGTAACTTTGGGATTTACAATCCCTGTTCCATAGGCAAACAAAAGATTACTGCAAAAAACTCGTTTTTATACATACTGTAAAAGGGGGGGGGGGAAGAAGTTTTCATGCTATTTAAGATAGCTCCTGTTTTCAAATTCCAGATAAGGACACAATGTAGCACTGATTACTTTGATGCAGCAACAGTAAGGACTTTACAATTTCTACAGAGTCAAGAATCATGTTCCAACTGTGTCAGCCTTATACACCAGGAATCTTCAGTCCTACATCATCCTTAACCAGCCAAAGAAAACTGGGAATCTTCTTCGGCGAAAGACCTACGGACTTGATGTTGTGCCTGGCCAGCAGCCTGCTTATGAGGTTGAAAGTCGTCCCAACGTAGGGCAGGAAGGCAACCAAGGCTGGTTTCTCTGGGGGCGGTGACACCCTCGCAGGTCGAATGAAGGCTCACTGGACCTGTCGGTTGTTGTAACTGTTTTGCTTGAAAGTGGTTCTGAGTATCTCCAGTTCACCCAGCAGGCCTTCCTGGTCACAAAGGGCCCTAGCCCTGTGCACCAGGGTGGAAAGTAGGGCCTGTTTGTTGGAAGGGTGGTGATGGGAATCAGAATTGAGGTATAGGTCGGTGTGGGTCGGTTTTCGGTAAACCTTGTGGCCTAGTGAGCCATCAGGTTTACGGTGGATGTCTATGTCGAGGAATGGGAGATGGCTGTCCTTTTCTGTCTCCATGGTGAACTGGATACTCTCGTGAACACTGTTCAGGTGGTCAAGGAACCCCCGACAGCTTGCCAGTACCATGAGGCCACATGACAAATGTGCCATCCACGTAGTGGAACCAACAGAGGGTCTTGAGGGTAACTTACATCATGCTGTTCCAAAATCGTGCCTGGGCACCAGCTCATGAATACCACAATGGTGATGCTGTGTTGTCACACCGAAAGCTATACCTCTTCCATTATTAGGTCCATTCTCTCATCTTCTGGGTTTAAAACTGCATCAATGTTATAAAATGCAGCATGCAGGCCAATGATGAAAATTGATACACCTGAAATACATAATAATTTTTCCCTAGCATTCATTCATTTATTGAGTAGAGTTCGCTATACAGAAGACTGTATACATCCAATACCACAGCTGAAAACTTATTTCCAATGGTGCTGTTCTATTGCAGCAATGATTTGATTCATATAACTAGAAATCCACCCTTCCATATTCCTGATTACATCTTACTAATTTTATTCTCTCAGTTATATCTGTCTTTATACACATATTCTAGTCTATTCTTAAATACAACAGTATCAGTACAATTAATGATGCTATTCTAGCCCAAGAATAATTCATTATATTAAAAAAATACATAAATAAACTACAGCCTTGCCTTAAACTATCTATTTGTTCAACAGAATTTGCTACCTCATCTCTGCACTTCACACAAAAGATCTATCATCATACAGTCGCTTAATACATTCAACAACATTGCAAGCCACTCCTTTCTGCCTCAATTTAGACCCCCAAGGCTTCTGTCCATAAACCTGCTGACTCAACAGTCTGTGAGCCAACTTCTTATGTTTTATTCTTGATGAGTCTGCAATTCTACTATAGATTCATCTGATGTGGATACTATATGTCTTTCTATATGTTATCTTGATTAAGTTTCCTTGTGTTATCAGCATCACTTCTTGTATTCTGTGAAGTCAAATGTGATGCACTATCATGTCCGTTTCCTTCTCCCAGTTAAGACATGGTCCCTCTGATTCCACTTTTTCTCACTTCCAAATATCTTTCCCTCTCTCTAACGCAATTCATGAAACTACATGATATCCAAGCCATCGCCTTCTACTATACATAATACAGATTGTTTATTTGTCCTTTTCCAAAAATGCCCTAAGCTCATATTTCTTAGCATCCTTCAGGTATGGAATAAAACCCCCTCTAGCTGTCATTGTCTCCAAAAAAAAAAATCTTAATCTCCTTTAATGTGCAAGCTTGCTAATTTTTAGTATTTCTTGGCACCTCTAGTTTCACTAAGAATGCAGCGAATTTCACAAAAAATTGGCCCCCTGCCCCCTTCTTCTTCCCGGTCTGGTCTCACAGTCATTGTTTTTGTTCAATACCTCAAGCTTCTCTGCTATCTGAGAACCTTCATCACAGCTCCTTATGTATCAAAGTATCCCTTATCCTTCCTCCCTTATAATCCAAAAATCAATGTTATTCCTCCTGTTCCATTCTTTCAGGTTTTTCCATCCACCATGTCGCCTCTCCTTCCATTTTTTCACTGTCTGTTTAGTGGCCACTTCATTTATTTCTCAAAGTTTGGGCCTAGATCCTGAATTACACCTTCAATTTCTTTAATTTTTTGACTATGAGTCTTTAATAAACTTTTAATCCTGTTACTCTCCTCGTCCTGATTCTGTACATGTGTTAAAAGCTAATCAATCTTTCCCTGAACCACTGGCAGTACCAGATTCAATCACCACCTCCTTTATAAGTAGTCCCACAAACCAAATATGGCTTCTCATCATTACTTTCTTGCAAATTTCATTGTACAGCCCTTTATACATTTTATAATGATGGTACCAACTCTGGGGCGGTAGGTACCAATATCTGTGCTGTACAATCATGCTTACACATGATTACAGCCACAACTCTTAATTTTTCCTTGCAATTTTGGGAACAAAACATCCACTACATTCACACTCATTTGAATAGAGAAACTTTCAATTCACAGACAGGAAAATTCTAAATGGGGCTAATTTACTGAAATGCATTAAAAATCCTACTATGGTATATAGATTCACACATTCCTCAATAATTTTCTCTAATAAAATCCATCACTACTGAGATATCTGACATTGCTTTTGCTTGAGAATATCAAGTTCAATAACTGCTGCTGTGATTCACATCCTCATTAGCAAGGTACATCCTAGTATTTTATTTGATATTCTTCATTAAAGTAAACAGTTACTCAGTGATAGTTAATGTCAAATACTGAAGACATTAACATAGTGACATAGTATTATAAAAAAGGGCATAGGCCACACAGAACACATCAGCGGACCATGTGTTGAGAACCCATGATTTATCACTACAGCATCAACGAGCAATAGTGACAGCTGTAGTGGCAGTAAATAAATGCTATTACAGACTCCAAATTGGTTATAATTTTACCAATAGTATTAATCCATTATAAGGGTAAAATGACAATGTCTTTAATTAAAGGTAAATATTTTTAAAATGTTTTCAACAAGACAAGACATATTTTCTCAGTTCAACTGACTCTTTTCAATGAAGAAGAGATGGTTTGTTCTCTGTTGATGGCTGGTTTTAGTAACATAAACTCTTACCAATAACCCAAAATATTGCTGCACCTGCTCCTGATAGGTAGAAGAGTGGTAGGGAACACAGAGCAACCAGACCATACTGTTGGGCTAATGTCAGTTCATGTGCAAATATCCTGATTTTCCTTTCAGTGTTCTTCAAAGATAAGATGTAGCATGCACCCAAGCTTACAGCAACAGCTATCAGCAGAAGCGGTGATGTAATTCTGCAAATTATAAATCACCTATACTGCTTACAGAAACACATATGCAAAAAAGAGCAGAATCATACTTAAAATGCAAAATAATCTTATCACCGCTTTACAAAATAACTTACAGACAATATGCAAGTAGTCCCAGGAACACAAAAAAGTAGTTGCTTTGAAAGTATTCCACATTTCTCATTACCCTCTTGCTGAGACGTGGAATGCTAGATGGGGTGCGGAAATTTCCTGTATTGACAAACACTGTCCACTGTCGTATGTTCTCACGACGCTGCCCAAACCATTCTTTTGCAGCTGGAGAAGACAGAGAAACCTGCACTGGAAGCTGGAACATGCTGCACAAAAAAGAGTCACAGTTGCAGGTAATTACTGGACATGAAACGCATACAAGGCAATGAACATACTCATCATAGTCCGAGGTTTCTATTCGTATCAGATCATCTAAAAGCAACTTGTTAAATTTCTCTTGCAAAAACCTTAAGCAATCAATGTTGTACAACAACAGAACCTGTAAAAAAAAAACATTATTAAGCTGTAAGTTTTGCCAGAGTACAAAATTTAATATTGAATGTTTCAAAACAATACTTCACAAAAACTCCTCTATAACAATTTCAACACAAACATCTCCTATGATATAACCTGTAATTGCTCAAATGACCACAGCAAAATGGAAAAAGTGCTTGACCACTTTGGTACCGGCAGCTGTAAGTTATTTGTAAGCAAACTTATATTACTGTGACATAGGAAACACCATTCTGAAGCCATCATACAGTATGTTTAAACATTTCTGCCTCTCTTAACTAATCTATCTTCCAGTATTTCAAAGAACAAACAAAAAAAAACATTGGATAAAAATGGAAAATGTATGTAAACTATTATGTCAGGCTAATTGTGTTTATACTCCTGCATGGGGAAAATTGATTAAATGGGTGATTTAAACACCAATCAATTAAAGGTTAAGTAGGGTTTTGGATGATAGCCTAGAACAGGTCAACAAATGGCAAATCTCCTATAGTATTATCTGTGCATCTACCCATTCACTGCAATACAAATTTATCACTCATAAATGAAGTTAACTGCTTTCAGTTATCAGTGACGTCTCGTAATTGCAAGGCTTTAACTCAGTATACAAATCAAGGAGCCAACAAAACTGAAAATCTGTTCAATTACAATTTGTTATAATCATTATGGCTCATAATAGCGTTTGACGAGTCAACTATTCCAAATGGAACTTTCCCAACATGAAGATTTTTAACAATGTAATAGACCCCAAACCAGAATTGTATGTAAGTATTATTAACATTATTGTAACTATTAGTACCTTTTGCGAGTTTGGACAGGTTCCTGTACAGTAATAGAACCCGTTACACCCAATTCCACGTCAGCCATGGCTTTAACTTCTTTGGTCTACGATGTATTTACACATTCGTTTGACTGTCATTTATTCTCAACCATTAATGCATACAACCGTTGACATGCAAGGAGCGCCTAACAAATTCTTAAATTTCTTGGCTTACAAATTGCTAAATTAAATTGGATACATGCTCAATGAATATATTATTCACGAACTAAGTCCAGCACGATTTATCATGAGTACAGCGACAGTGTTCTTGTGTTTCACAACACTGTTACACTCCTCAGCGCACAGACAATATTACGGGCTTGTTGGATTTATCTGTGCATAAATACTTATGGTATTTTGCCAGAGTACAAAATTTAATATTGAATGTTTCAAAACAATACTTCACAAAAACTCCTCTATAACAATTTCAACACAAACATCTCCTATGATATAACCTGTAATTGCTCAAATGACCACAGCAAAATGGAAAAAGTGCTTGACCACTTTGGTACCGGCAGCTGTAAGTTATTTGTAAGCAAACTTATATTACTGTGACATAGGAAACACCATTCTGAAGCCATCATACAGTATGTTTAAACATTTCTGCCTCTCTTAACTAATCTATCTTCCAGTATTTCAAAGAACAAACAAAAAAAAACATTGGATAAAAATGGAAAATGTATGTAAACTATTATGTCAGGCTAATTGTGTTTATACTCCTGCATGGGGAAAATTGATTAAATGGGTGATTTAAACACCAATCAATTAAAGGTTAAGTAGGGTTTTGGATGATAGCCTAGAACAGGTCAACAAATGGCAAATCTCCTATAGTATTATCTGTGCATCTACCCATTCACTGCAATACAAATTTATCACTCATAAATGAAGTTAACTGCTTTCAGTTATCAGTGACGTCTCGTAATTGCAAGGCTTTAACTCAGTATACAAATCAAGGAGCCAACAAAACTGAAAATCTGTTCAATTACAATTTGTTATAATCATTATGGCTCATAATAGCGTTTGACGAGTCAACTATTCCAAATGGAACTTTCCCAACATGAAGATTTTTAACAATGTAATAGACCCCAAACCAGAATTGTATGTAAGTATTATTAACATTATTGTAACTATTAGTACCTTTTGCGAGTTTGGACAGGTTCCTGTACAGTAATAGAACCCGTTACACCCAATTCCACGTCAGCCATGGCTTTAACTTCTTTGGTCTACGATGTATTTACACATTCGTTTGACTGTCATTTATTCTCAACCATTAATGCATACAACCGTTGACATGCAAGGAGCGCCTAACAAATTCTTAAATTTCTTGGCTTACAAATTGCTAAATTAAATTGGATACATGCTCAATGAATATATTATTCACGAACTAAGTCCAGCACGATTTATCATGAGTACAGCGACAGTGTTCTTGTGTTTCACAACACTGTTACACTCCTCAGCGCACAGACAATATTACGGGCTTGTTGGATTTATCTGTGCATAAATACTTATGGTATGTATTTTTTAGTCATCCCTCGCTAAAAATCTGTGGGTACGTTTTACAATGCTTATTTATGTTATAGATGTTTTAATTAAATGCAGAGTGTTTTGTTGAGGGTTTGTTTACAATTGGCAATTTTATGACATTGCATTTCGATTTTATTGTGACTTTTGTTGTGTTTCTTTTCATGCATGCTATGGCATCCAAAACAAAAGTTGTCTGTGCAAGTTGCGCTGCCATTTTACCTATTTTGTTTTCAGCATTTTTCAAGCAGCAGTATTTTGCAGTAGCGTCGAGGTTGTGCCAAATGTCCAAGTTGTTGTGATGCTTTTGGGTTAGAACATTTTTTCGTAATTTTGCACTGTTTACATGTGCTACGCCTAAGCTGCTTTGTGAGAATACGACTGAGTTTGGGCGTGTGCTTTCTTGAGACAATACCAACCCCGAGCCATCGCAACTATGAGATTTCTTTGTTCGGTAATCATCTTGGCGATTTGTACATTAGGTGAGTTGTTTAAAGAATGCCCTAAGTTATGTATGGAACAGCTACAATTCAGTTTTTAGTTATTGGTTTGAATTTAAATTAAACAACTTGTATTAAATGGTACCATTTACACTTATTACAAGCAGTGCTGTTTTCCATAACCTTATCTACCTTCCTCAGAATTTGAGGTTTTCCTGATTTTTAAAATATTTTTCTGTGTCTTATGCCATTCATACAAATTGCTGTTCATTCTGTGTTTTACATACCACGATTGTCACATTCATAGTTGGCTTTGTGCGCTTGTCAGTGCCATGACATAACTTCAGTACTGGGTGTAAAGTGAGAAACTGTTAAGACGATGATATGGCATGTCTTCTTATGAATGAACTAATCTGATTGTTCCTGGAATGAAATAGTGGGAAGAAAAAAATAAGTTTTTGTCTTCCGACCATTTCTGTGTTCAGACATTTGATAAAGTGAGAAGAGCATCACCAGTTGATGTGACATCAAATTTGCTATTTATTGCAATACAGTACATCTACTGACAAGTTAAATGCAAGTGTCACTTCCTGGTTCTAGGCAGGAACTGCATGACTTACTATCAAGCACTACAAGATGTTCTTGATACAAATAATGAATCACTCTATAAAACTAATAAAATCAACTTATATTTTGGAGGTGCTGAAAATTCTGTCCCTGTATAGGCATACACACTCTGTACATTATGAAGACAGACATGGATTAAATGTGGATTAACAGAACTCCAGTACTGATTATTTTTGGAGGAAACATATCTGTACAAATGAAACCACACTTCATCAGAAAGAGCAGACAAATTAGGGCCACCTTCTCTGTCATGAACTGATTCAAAAACACACTTTCAGAAATTAATCCTCCTTAACTGGGTCATGTAGTAGCAAAGGATGGATAAGAGTATCTTATTTGTCCTCTTAGAAATGAAAATGTTACTGCAGGTTGAAGTGAGAAGCCCTGCAAAATGTTCAACTGTGCTTTGCTGTTCACGTTGCAACCTTGAAGCTTGTATTTTGGTGTTGCAGAGTATAGTGCTTGGTGGTGAGTCATGCAGTTCCTGTTCATAGCCAGGAAGTGGTAACCATGTTCAGATTAATCAGCAGACACATTGCCCACCCAGGAGATGAATCTTTGGCATAAATATTTTCTGTTTTATGTTTATAGTTGCATCTCAGAGGACACCAACTATCTCATATATCTCACAGGAACAAATAAAAGATATTGGAGGAACAGTAGAGTTGGAATGTTCTGTTCAGTATGCCCAGGACTACCCTGTCTTATGGATGAGGATTGATCGTAGCAGACAGTCTGATGGTCTTCCTATATCCACAGGAAGTACACTCATTATTCGAGACAGTCGTTTTGCTCTGAGATATGATACGGCAAGCTCAACATATACATTGCAGGTAATGGGGTCACTTACTGACTTCTGTAATGTCTGTATTACAAGGGTTTGGTATTTACAAGAGGTCCTATATGACCTCCACTGGTTGAGTGAGTGTTGACCATTGTGTTTATTTGTTTCCCATTTAACATGATGGGGAATTCACTCTTGTAAAATTTTAGAATATGCAGAAAGGAATATAGAAGATGCAGTAATACATCTTTTAAAGATTTGTCTCATGAAATTCATCTACAGTTTCTTCCTTGAAGTGCTCAGAGGGCATTTTCAGCTGACATAAAACATTTTATTGCAGTGATTTAAACTTACTTCTGCAGTTTACTAGTTAAGTAATGTATCTGAATGTGTTAAACCATTGGTATTTATTTTATTTGTGCATATTTCTTCTTCTATGGCTCTCTGGTACTTATTCGGTCCATGGCCTCCTCAGTTCTCCTCTTTCATTCAGTCCTTCTGTTAGGTCAGTCTGTCCGAGGTTGAGGTTTCGAAACATCTTGCTTTTTATGGTGCAAGGTTGTTAGCCTTCAGACCAACCCCCAACCTGGAGGACCAGGGTACCTGTCTTAGTCTGACATCTCCCCCTCGACCAATCTGGCTAGGGAGGCCTTACCAGTAGCTATGCTACCGCCAGCATAGCTCTTGGGATCATTGTGCATATTTATTTTATGAAATTATTTAATTTTAGATAAAGGATATCCAAGAAACAGATGCTGGCTATTATCAGTGTCAAGTGCTGATCTCTCTCAACAACAGAATATCAGCAGAAGTTGATTTGCAAGTCCGTCGCCCACCGGTCATTTCTGATAATTCGACACGTTCACTTGTAGTTAGCGAGGGGCAGGCGGTAAAGCTCGATTGCTATGCAGGTGGTTATCCTCCTCCAAGAATTTCATGGCGTAGGGAAAACAATGCCATCCTGCCCACAGGTGGATCAATTTACAGGTAAGAGTAATTTTGATGAGTCTTTTCCAAAATATAGGTTAGGTTACTTTAATTTTAGATTCTTCCAATTAACTTCTGTTTTTAATTTTTTGTGTATGAATAACCAGTACAACAGAGTCAATTTTGAACTCTAAACAGCCATTATGAATTGACAAAATATGTTGGCTTCCATATTGCAGGTTAATAGAACATTAATTGCTATATATAAAATACTACATTGTGAACTCTTCGTGTCTACACTTCATATGCTAATTATTGTTATATTTCAAGTTTTAGATACACGCACACACACTCTTTACCTCTGTGTAAGTGTTTATCAAATGACGATTTGGTTGCGTGCAGCCATCTTTAAGTTTGAAACTGAAAGTTACTGCATATGCCTAAAACATATAGCTTGATAATAAGTCTGACAGTGTGTGTGAAAGCGACGGATAAAACAAATCGTTTATCTCGTACTTTTACTGCAAGGCCAACCAGTAATAATACTAAGTTAAGAATATGTTGTACTGTGTAATTTAATAACTGTATTCCATATAGGTTTCTGAACATGTGCTGTGTGTGTGGGGAGGGGGGGCATACACACATTATAGGTATGTGTGTACTTGTAGGTCCCTCCCTCCAATTAATTTTCATTACTTTGTAAGTTCTACTGAATATTACATGCGTTTCTAGTCTGTTAAACTAGTTCATAATTCTCACTGAGGTAGGTCAGTTTGTGTCATGTTGGGGTTATGCCCTCAGAGCTCTCTGTTTTTCCTTCTTTCTTTCTCTGTACCTTTTGTCGTTTATTTATTTGTTTTTTATTTATTTATTTATATTATTGCTCCTCTTCTTCTTCTATGGCTCTCCGGTCCGTATTCAGTCCATAGCCTCCTCAATTCTCTTCTTCCATTCAGTCCTCTGTTAGGACTGTCTGTCCGAGGCTTTGATCGAGGTCTCGAAACATCTTCCTTTTTTACGGTGCAAGTTTGTTAGCCTTGCGACCAACCCCCAACCTGGAGGACCAGGGTACCTGTCTTAGTCTGACCTCTCCCTCTCGACCAATCTGGCTAGGGAGGCCCTACCAGTAGCTGTGCTACCGCCAGCACAGCTCTTGGGGTCACTGAGGTACTCAAGCCCCACCACCACAACAAGGTGCAGGTACCATTAAGTGGGGATTTATATTATTAATTACTTCATAATTCTTCTTGAGGTAGGACTTCCCCATCTTTATTGCAGGTATGCAAAGCAGGCTCTTGATGTTTCCATGTCTTTATCGCCATACTTTATCATTTTTGTGCATAATCTATATCATCGCTCTACTAATCTCTTTTTTCTTCTTTGCTGTTGAATAGTAACATCCATTATTCACCACATCATTCTCATCCATGGTCTAGACATGTCTGTTCAGAAACATCGCAAATAGATTTTCCTCTTATTCAAGGCTTATGTTTCTTGGTTTTTGGTGCTTATTAGATTATTAAACTCCTGCTTGACCATCAAAGATATTTCCTGTCTCTGTGGTGCTGCCACGGTTTTGGCCCGAGTTGCAGCTTGTGTGTATCTGGAACTTTCAAATGAAGTTTGAGTGGACTCCTTTAGTACTACTAATTGAAAGTCAAGGTGCGTAGCGTGGAGCATAGTACAGCCATATAGTGCCCTGGTGAGTGTTCAGGTGGCATAGACATTGATAGTTTTGTGCTGTTGGTCTGGCTGTATTACTCTGGTCTATGTAATCAACAACAAGTCTTCTAAAGTTCTGCACTCCTGTATTTGTCTGCGTGCCATATAGTGGGGGCCATCATCGGTGGTTTTTCCCCTAGTGGCGGCATAAAGTTGCAGCTTGCCAGTGGCGTAGGACTTGTTAGTTTTGTGATTGTCAGTGATTTCTGAGAGAGTAAGTTTTCTGAAATGTACGTCCCTACACCAGCACAGACTGGAAAGTCATTCTTCTCATTAAAACTTACTTTATCTGTCTATACAGACATGAGACAGTGTCCAAGGAAGGTACTGTAATGGCAATGCCAAAGTATCTTTCTCATCTAATTTGACATTTTCTGTATTTCATATTGATTACCCATAAATCGCACAAAACATGATTAAGAATTAATTTATTTAGAATCTAGTGCTCAGTGTTTTAGGCAGAATTACCTTCCAGTGCCATCTTTAGTTGTAGGTTAATTGCAACGAGCATTATATTTATTTGACATGACATTTATTTTCTCGATGATTTTCAGAGGGAATGTTCTGAAGATTGCAAATATTCGTAAAGAGGATAGGGGGACATACTACTGTGTGGCCGAGAATGGTGTGGGCAAAGGTGCAAGAAGGAACATTGCTGTTGAAGTTGAATTTGCTCCAGTGATTTCAGCTCCACGCCCAAGGCTTGGACAGGCACTTCAATATGATATGGATCTCGAGTGTCATGTTGAAGCATACCCGCCTCCTGCAATTGTGTGGATCAAGGATGATGTTCAGCTGTCAAATAATCAACATTACAGGTGCATAGCAGTATCATAAAACTAATAATATTAATGCGCTGAAGATAAAATGCTCACGCTTACAATTTATTATTCTCACAAGACCAAAAATGAATAGTCTGAGCTAAACTCATGTATTAGACAGATTTATAGTCATACAAATCTTTTTCAGCAAGTTTTTGTCTTATATTCAAGCCGATATTCTGCTGGATATGCCAGAATTGTTTCGCTATGAGTACATTTCTTGGCTCGTCGATTAGGAGGACTCCACAACTAATGCCGCTGAGAGCTTCATGAAACAAGTCTAATAGTAATTCTACCGCCACCATATGGAATATGTTAAATGATGACTTCTTCATGTACTGACATTCATATTGTATTATATGGAACTTCTTGATACAGACTTTTTAGCCTGTAGAAATGTGTATTGTCTTTGCATTATCTAAGAATTTGTTGGACTCTGTTTATTTACGGGGTCCACAGTGGCCGTGTGGTCTGAGGCGTGGGCCTTGTGCCGCTCGGTCACTGGGACCGTGGGTTCGAATCCCACTCAAGCCATCGATGTCTGTGTTGTGCTGTCCTGTGTACAGGTAGAGGCCTTGCGACGGGCCGATCCCTCATCCAAGGAGTCCTACCGAATGTCTATAGATCGAGCCAACGAAAAGTTGGGACCCCAAGTGCTCAGGCACTTGAAGAACGGGTCGTTCCCAGTATCCCAGTCTGTTTATTTACACTATATACATTGTATTACAGCATTTCCCATTTTGCCACTGCTGATGAATTTACTGATACGACAATCCGCATCATAACAATTGAGAAGCGGCAGTATGGCCAGTATGTGTGCAAGGCTGCAAACAAATTGGGAACTGCAGAAGCAAGAGTAGAACTGTTTGGTAAGATATTTTAATCGCATGATAAACTGCTCTTGAACATTGAGTTAGAATTGCATGATTGTATGTAAAGATGGATAGCTTGTTCATTTTGTGTGGCAAGTTTAACTGTAGGAAGTAAATGCTACTGATAGAATTGCATGCTTCAATAAAATAGAAGAATTGCAATTTCCTGAAGGATGTGCATTGAATTTAATTTTCTGTAAAGTCTTAGTTCAAGTTCCAGAAACCTATGACAAAGAATAAGAAATATAAATTCAAGGTAAAATCATGTTATGTTTCATAACTCTTAAGCGAGGGTATTAAAATTCCTGTGTAGTATACTATAAAGTAAAGTTTGTTCCGCTACGTGCCATACAGGCGCTTGGGGTGAGAGGAGGTATAGCTCCTCCCTTTCTTGACCTCGGCACTACATGGGGGTGAGTGGTCAGCATCACGCCCCGGCCGGCTTTACCCCCGGGAAAGGACCTCAGTACCCATTGTAGAGGAGGCTGGGTGGGCCCCAGAGCCGGACTGGACGCAGAGGCTAGAGGGGAAAAATCCTCTGGTCCCGTCGGGGATCGAACCCCGGCCAGCCAGCCCGTAGCTAGTCACTATACTGACTGAGCTATCCCGGCTCATGTATACTGTGCAATAGCATTTTAAAGTGTCCCTTCAAAATTTTGCAATTAAATTTTTAAGTAGATACCTTTCAGTGAAACAGATTTTTCACTACATATGTAGGATTTGGGGGTTTTCGTGGCAGTGAGTTTGAAGACGGTTGTCTTCTGGGTTGTTGCACTGTGTATCTGGTAGAAGTTTACCTATGTTTCAGAGGTTCTTGCTGCCTCCATCATCAGGGCAGTGATTCATGAGACTACACAGCGCAACAACCTAGAAGACAACCATCTTTTTTCACTAGTTTCACATAAGACTATTTTATGTTCTTATCTTACAAGTAGTGTGTTAAATACATATGGGGTACCAGGAATCAGATTAGAAGAAATTTTTTTGGTAACTCCTGAAGCAACTATCAAAAAACAGGCCAGCTTCACAATCAGGGCACCATTAGATTGAATCCTGATGTTTTAAATGACATTTGTTTAAGGAAAGTCTCATTAGTGTTCTATTCTATTAGTAGTTTAACCCAGTAATGGGTCATTGCCGCCTCCTTTCGGAGGTTTCTTGGTCTTGGTAGCGTGCATTTATGCGTAGTGAGTGACAAGCCCACTAACTGTAGAATTTCTACTCAATCCTGATTTGACTGCCAGAGTCATCTAGCAGTGAATCAGGAGAGACTTGGGTGAGAAATGGCTACTGAATTTTGCTTACGAAACATCTCATTAGTGTTACTCATGATGTATGTTGCATGTATATGAAGTTGTGTAATTGATATTCATCATGATGAGTTTGATTTAATTCTCGTAGTTTCTTTCAGGTTATTTGGTTTATTTGAGAATGTTATAGTAAGTGTTGGCTTAAAGTAGATGGGCTTTCAAACATCTCAAATTTTTATAATTGTTATGTCTGAGCTTAGTATTTAATTCAGTTTTATAGATTATTTTGTTGATGTGAAGATGCAAGATGGCTGTGGTATTTGTTTCTGACAAAGGGATTGCATTTTTTGCTTTTGCTTGGAATTTGTTCGGTAGAAGAAGGTTCGTTAACTGAACTGCTGCCGTGCCATGCTGTGGCATATGTATGGCATTGCTTGGTTTATTGCAGAGTCTATAATCCCGGTGTGTCCACCGGCTTGCGGTCAGTCTCGGACTAGTGATGCTGCTCAGATCTCGGCAAGCATGGCCCCTATTCTCATCACTGTCCTCGTATTTTTCCTGCATCGGTAGGTTTGTGATTTGTTCTGTTTATTTTCCTAATTTTAGCGTATGTAGTTAAATATACGTGGTCTGATTTATTTGCACAGGGGAACTTAAAGTAAGTAGGTTTTTTGGAATACGTTGCAATTGGTAGTAGAAAATGTGTTTTTATATTGCAGTCAGAGTTGTGCGAGATAAAATTTTTAATGTACAGATAACATTTACGGTTTGTAATTGGTAAGAGGGGCACGTAGCGCGCATGGATGTTACAAGAGGTGTGCACCGGGTATTGGTCGAGAAGCCTGAGGGGAAGAGACTGCTGGGGAGACCTAGAAGTAGATGGGAGGATAATGTCAGGCGGGATCTATGGGAGATAGGAGTTGAAGGAGACTGGATTTTGTTGGCCCAGGATAGGATCCGGTGGAGAGCTTTGGTTAATTCGGTGATGAACCTTCGGGTTCAGTAAGCCATCTAGTTCAGTGGTATTCAACCTTTTTTGTTCGCGTACCCCCAGATATAATTTCTCTTCAACTTTGTACCCCCAAAGTTGTTGCTGTATAATTAAAGTTATACATAGTATATAATCTACATTAAAAATAAACATTACTGATTATTCAGTGTTTATCATAAAATAATATCTATTTTTTTAAATTTCACTTACCCCCTAAGATGTCTTCGCGTACCCCAGGTTGAATACCACTGATCTAGTTAGTTAGTTAATTGGTAAAAGGTAAGTGGTAAGTAAGTCTGTATGTAATATTAAACTCTAAATTGGAGAGCAGATAAGATGAATGTAATGTGTAGAATGCATGGAAACTAGACATGCTTACAAAATTTTGGTCAGCCGTTGTAGGATGGTACTACATGTCAGAACTAGGTGTGGGTGGGATGACGATTATACAAAAGCCTAAGGCATCTAGTAAGTTTGTTATTCTAATAATATTCATGTTTTTAGGTAGCTGATGGGTAGATAGAAGATTGTGGACTGAGTGGTAGCAGCCATTCTTTGAATTCAGTGTACTTTTAATTTCTTTGTTATTGTAATTTTAATTTGTTTCTGTAATTTATATACCACATTTAAAGAATATTTCAAATTAATGTAGATTTTAACAAGATACATGTTTTTTATACAGTGTAAATGATTTCCTTCTTGTTTGAGAGAGGTGTGTGCTTTTGTTTTTCAGAAATTTCAACGCCAAATATTAATTACCCTGGCCTGATATGGGACAGCTCAGGAGGGAATGTAAGTCATGAACATGGACTCATTTTTACAATGTTGGCAGCTAGACTAGTGTCATTTGTGTGTATTTGAAGTTGTTTATTGTTCTTAGTATTTTTTTTATTAACATTCTTTCTCCCAACTTGCTCGTACGTGTAGAGTGTATACTGTATGTAAATTTTAGGTCAGTCCATGTTTATTATTAGTAGTAGTAATTTTATTACGATTTTTATTATTTGCACCTTATTTTCTCAGCTATTGACAGTTCTTTGCAGACCTAATTTTTAATTTTATACTTAAGGATAGTTCTTAATTGACCGTGTTATAAATTAATTTATAAACTAGTTTGTGCTATGAGATTGTGAATATTTTTTAAATGACTAAAATTATCTTGATATGAATTTTAATATACATCACAGTTTTGGATATTCTTCCAAAAAAGGTTCAGTTCATGTTGTACCACACAGGCAAACAATCAAATGCCATTTTATATTTTTATGATAACACATCAGAATATTGTAAAATTTTATAACGATATTGTTTATTTGTAATTGATATGTGTAGATAATACTGTAGTATACATTTTTTACACTTTATGTGACTGAATCATGTACTACAAAAGTGTCAGTCTCTAACAAGTACCTTCTATGGTTTTATGTTTCACTTGGCGTTATTTACCGATGAGAAATGCCGTGAAAGTGACAGAAAGTATGAGATTAATATGTAATACTCCTCTGCAACCAGTTCTTAATGTGAGAGCAGTTTATTGAAGAATATTAAATCTTCATACTCACCGCTGTGAAAACCTCAAATCTTACATATTAAATCTTACTTTTCCGTTTCATTGGTCGGTCGGAAAAGTAGGAAGTACGAATTTGAAGATTGCCATCTTCTGGGTTGTTGTGCCGTGTAGTCTAGTAGGTGTTCCACCTACGTTTTAGAGGTCAATGCTGCCTCTATCATCAGGGTGATAGTCGCTCTGATGATGGAGGCAGCAAGGACCTCTGAAACAGTAAACTTCTACCAGACTACACGGCACAACGACCCAAAAGACAGCAATCTTCAGACTCAAGGCCGTGAAAACCTCAGATCCTACAAGTATGAAATTATTGTCTCATCTCAGAGGTACGTGGAAGGTAGCCGAATGTTTTGAGGTATGTGATGGTAAGAAGGCTGTTTTGGAAAATTACAATGCTGTGGGTAGGTGTGTTTTTTCTTGTAGAGGAAATGCCTGGTGAAATGAGCCAATATCTGTTGACCACTGTATATATGACTTTTGGTTTAACTGTACCACCTGAAAGATCTGTTTGGTGTGAAGTATCTTGAAGCAGAAACCTGCATACAGTGCTACATAACAGGTCTCCAGCAAACAATCTCTCCTAAAACCAGATTTTATGCAAGTAATGCATCTTCTTTGGGGTCTTGCATTTTTATCAGTGAATGGTATTGTTCAAAGAAGTGTTGTCCCCCCCCCCCCCCC